TGTCCGTTGCCCATTGTATTAGTCTGTGATTAAAGCTGTCTTGCGGCCCTTGTGCAGTCCACGTTAGCCAATCAATGCCAGGAGCGTTAAAATCCCCAACGATAAGGACATCTTTCCTTTCGCTAGCTTGGTACAGTTCAGATATGAGCATGAGATCTTGGTCAGAAGTATGGTTAGGTGAACGGTACACCACCGAAAGCGTCAATGATCGGACATTCTTAGTAGATATGGTAAGGCTTGGCAGTTCCACATCCCGTACCGGTCTATGTACATCAGCCATAGCGCTTAGCTTGCAAGTGACATAAATTATGACTCCTCCTCCTCGGCTTAGTCTATCTCTCCTGAATTGCTGATATCATCTAAGTGATATTTCTGAATCTGCGATATCTTCAGTAAGCCACGTTTCTGTGAATGCCGTAATGTCTGGCTTAATTTCATCAACTAAGTCTCATAGCCTGTCTAGTTTTTAGAAGAGGCTTTGCACATTTGCGGATATAACCTTCAATGACTGATTTGTTGGAGAGGCCCGGCCTTCATTGTGACGGGTTCTGACCACAGGACAGATCCCTTTGTTTGGACTATTTGTCCATTTTCGATCTTCAGCCCTTTCTCTCCTCTGCCAATTCTCTCCTTCAATTCTGATCTGTATATTTTTTGTATATATGTCCTGAAATTCATATAAAGGTTTTTCTTACTTGCTATTGACGGACCCCCACGGGGATTGAATAAGAATTATTATTATTATAAGAGGGACTCAACCGGCCGGGCAGTTGGTCGGCTAGTTGGCTCCCCAATTTTAATGCGGACAAATGTGTGGTCATGAGACTCCGCACCAGAAGGACCAGTGAGGAGGACGATCCCCTTCGATGCCCTCTTGATGGGCAGTTTGTTTTATATATTTAAGAATAAAATGATCCCGGCGTTCTAATAATCTCCTTCCTTAAACCACCGTCACCGTATCAAAGGGCAGCCAAACACTCGATATGACGTTATTTGCTCCGAGGCGAGGACTTTGGCAGATCGACGAGGCTGCTGTTCGGAAAAACCCATGGGCATTCGTTTGGTCTTTCATAAAGCACACCGTCCAGGCCAGCTGACCGTGGTTCAAGAAGGATTATCAGTGATTGGAAGGAGTACAGGCGATGGCTACCAAGATTGTCAAGAATCATAGTCATCGTCTGCCTTGCAAAACCAGACTAGCTGATCGTAGTCTGTTTACTCTCAGTCACAGGCAACTGCGCACTGACTTCATTCCAACCAACCTGACTGTCAGGGACCGTGAACGTGCCTGACTTCTTCGAGTTGGCTGGGACGGACTGTCGCTGTGGCCACCCCTTCAAACTGCACAGGAAACTGGCCCATACCGACTTCCGATTAAACGCGTTCTCGCAGAGGGTCATTGGAACATGAAACGGACTCCTTGACACGGTGGTTCTTTCCAAAACCGTTGAATACTTTAAGTGCAAACTAGAAGTTTATTTGCTAAGGAACTACTATATATGCATATTTATTTATTTAAACAGCCAAGATCGTGTCGGTAACGGCAGTTTGCGCCTGGCTCACATATACCGATAAATCTTGAATTTCCGGAATTACTGGTGCAACAATTGATTCCATCGTTACTCTTGGACATCAGTAGGGAGCTCAAAGACGAATGTCTCATCCGCTTAATAAAATGACTTAAACCAACATAAGTACTCACACTTTCGTCCCGTTACCCTTTGAAGTGACCGTATCGGACCAGAATCCAACCTCGTGTGCAGACGGCCATCACACCTCAACATCATGAAAGCCTAAATAACAAGCGGACTAGAAAGATTTATATTATATTTTATTTCAACCATCGACGAAGAACAATCAGTCCTTTTTCTGATTTGGATAGCTATAAACCATTTTTATGGGTTGGCGAAATAGCTCTTGCCCTTATTGTGCGGATTGTTCGCCAAGAGTGAATGAAAGGATGATAAATTCAACTTTGACAGCAGGAGTGACCGAGAAGCCAACAGAGGTTGAATACACACCAAGTACTCGTAACCGCCTACCATACCAAGCACCTCTGCCACAACCCCGTAGGGGCGGCTATTTCAATTTTTAATTTTAATTATTTTTATTAAGGACCCGTCGGGATCCCATCAAAGCAAGTAAAAATAAATTTACAAGCGAATTTTAGACGAGGTAGGCAAAATCTGTACAAAGTGCAATACATAGTTTTTGAGATTAGAAGTCCGTTAAGAAAAATGATAAGCGAGGGGTGAAAAAAAACTCCGTTAGAAAATGTAAAAATGATTGGATTAATTTTACAGGAGAACAAAAACACCTTGAAAAAATAGAATTAGAAAAATGCGGGTAGGACTGGCCTGCATGTGGCGGTATAGAATGGATTATAATCGGACATCAACAGGGCCGAAATAAATGTCAGCTGTATATGGCATTGTATAACTGATTTCATAAAGAGGTCAATAGGCTGGTCGGTCAGGACCGGCCTGTATGTGGCCTTGAATAAGGCAAATAAGTGACGAAATCGAAAACCAGTCTCGAGCTGATAGGAACCCAGATGCGGTCGGTTACATTCATCCGAGTCCATCCGAGGACGGGGAAAGGGAGATGCGACCAGACTACTAGGATATGGCGAATACAGAAGGCTTCGCCAAGAGCGTCGATGGAGCGCATTCTGTGGGGGCACGATGCATGAACTGAAAAATTGGAAAAATTAACATTTCTGGTGAGGGATCTTAGGAAGCTAGACTACTCGCAAAGGAAGGAAATGTGAACAGACACTGAAATTTAATGGCGGCATACTAAATTCCCGGTGGCCCTTCCTCAGTGTCATAGAAAAAGTTGTCTGGGATGGATGATGAAAATAAAAGTTTAATCGAGTCAGTATTCAGATAAAGGCGTAGCCTTCTCTTAAAGGTGTGTAGATTTTCCGAAGATCTTATATTTATTGGAAGGTTATTCCAGAGGAAAGTATATCTGGAAGCGAAAAAAAGGGAGAGAGAGAGAGGTGGAGGACGCTGGAGGAGGCATAAGCAAGGACGAGTTGCGTAGATTGTATGGGCGACTACTAGGGGTGAGTGCTGAAATCCGAGGAAAATTTGAACTATTATTAATGCGAAAAAGGAGACAGAAGCCTGCTTCTAGTCTTCGAACCCATAAAATTTTTAGGTTAATTAGCTGGCATCTATCTGAGTAGGAGATATCTAGATGTTCCCTATCTAAATGCTTTCTAGAAAAACGTCTTTGTACATTTTCAATTTTTAAACGACTAGCCTCATTCATCAAACCAAAGAATGGGCAACAATAGTCGAGAATGGGAGGTACAAACATACGATAGAGCCTTAATTTAATTTTAGGAAGATAGAAATTGTAAGACATAAAGCCACAAATCTGGGCAGCTTTGGCTGTAATTCTGTCAGCGTGTGGCGAGAGCTCAAGCTTACTAGTGTAGCTTAGACTTAAATCCTTGATGGTGGTACATTCAGTCATAGGTGTGCCTTGAAAGACCACTGGTTGGGGTAGCCTATCAGGTCCAAAACACATATAGCGACACTTAGACGGGGAGAATTCCATTAGCCATTTTGAGCTCCAAGCTGAGAGAGCAAGGAAGTCAGCATGGATTTGTTCCAGCCAATGAAGGCTCGTAGATTTTTTGAAAGAATATACACATTTGCGATCATGGGTATTAATAAATGTTTGAGAATGTTTAACTGCTGCCGAAATATCATTAATGCAAAGCAAGAACAGAAGAGGACCTAAAACGGTGCCTTGTAGAACACCACTTACAATAGGGTTTTCATTGGAAAGTGAAGATCTCACCAAAACCTTTTTTTATGATTAGACAGATATGACCTGAGAAAGTCTATTAGTGGACTGCGAGTTCCCATAGCTTCCAATGTAACCAAGAGTCTTTTATGTGGTACTTTATCAAAGGCTTTACTAAGATCAAAATAAATAACGACAACAGATAGATGATCATTACGAAGAGAAGTATGTAGATTGAGAAACGAAAAATGGCATGATTCACAAGAGCGATCTGGTAAAAAACCATGCTGGGAAGGGCTAATAACTTGGTTGGCCATGCAAAAGTCGGTAATTTTACGGCGATAATTTTTTCCAAGATTTTGATGAGAGGGGGTGTTCTGTACGTCAGAACGACAGCCAGACTTAAATACTGGAATAATAATAGAAGTTTTCCAATAGTCAGGGAAGAAGCCATTTACGAGAAATACTGAAAAGATTTGCTAAGCAGAGGAGGAAAATCTCTTAGCTGTTTTATAAAAGAGTTTGGGATATTGTCCGTACGTACTGAGTGAGAGTTAGGAAGATGGCTTATCAGTTTTTGAATACATTCAGGAGAAAAACTAATGATGCTAAGAGAAGCATCAGACAACGGAGGAATTAAAGGGGTTGGGTCAGTTTCAATGGTGAAATGTTTGGCTACAATTCCTCCCTCCCCCACCGCCCATGTGGACACTTCTCACACACCGTCACCCACCAATCTTGCCACCACCGCCCCTACTACCAGCAACGAGGACTCTATTCCAAGTTATCCACATTGCGATCGCTCCTGTGTAACGCGCATCAGACTGGTCAGTCACTTACGAGCACATTGCACTGGCACCGGTGAATCCGTGCCAGGAACCAGGACACACACCCGCTGCACCTACACATTTACGCGTCGCATGGGTCTGTTCGCCCATACTCGCCTCCATAAAACTCTGCGGTGAACCGCCGCACACTTAACCAAATCGCCATAGATTTTCCCACCAGCCCATGCATTACACCTGAACCCGTCTACGGTCCACACCACAGTCACAGACTAAGCACTCCTCGCTTAGGTGGGTAGGGTGTCCTTCGGCCCCTTTTTCATGTGGCCTTCATGCCAATCTTAAACATGTGAGACCTGAGCAACCCACCTCCGGTTTGCCAAATACGGGTTTTTCATGCGAGGACCAAGCCATGCAAGTTGCAGGCTGATGTAGCAGGATCGGATCCCGAACATGGAAGTAATGGAACGGACGGGAATCCTCAGCATCTTCGCTATGCTGAAACAACTGCAACTGCGCTGGAGCGGCCATCTGGTGCTCATGGACGACGAAGCGTTACCCAAACGACTCTTCTATGGTGGTGTCGCCACGGGCTCCTGTCGACAAGGAGGTCAAGTCCGGCACTGTAAGGATAACCTGAATGCTTCCCTGAAGTGTCTGCAAATCGACCTGTTCAGTTGGGAAGACCCCGCTCCGAACTGAACGACCTGACAAAGGCATTGAAGACCGGCGCAGGAATCTATGAAGCCAACCGCCTTATCGTCGCCAAGGCCAAACGCAATGCTTGTAAATCTCAAATGCTCCGCCTCCAACTCTAAAAACCAACCACCCCGACCTGTCCACGTTGTCAGCGGACGTTTCGGCACCAATCAGCCTTGTAGGACATCTTCGTACCAACTGCAGCACCCTGACGACACTGCCTGATGTCCCGCCTTCCACCTCTGCCTCGCTCCCCAACGCCGACAGTCAACACTGACCACACTCCTGAACCCCCACTGCCATCCTCCTGTAAGTAATAAACCCATTAGTTGGACACAGTAAGTAGGCTATCCGGGAAATGAAGATAAAAAAGATCCCAACAGTCACAAACTAGTGAATAAGAAAAAAGTCGTCAGCAGGTAAAAATGCACGTGCTAGTTCTTTGTCTCATTCAAAGTTGCGCCATGTTCTTTTAAAAGCGTATTTTAACTGAATAAAATAAAACGGACTTAAATATCACTACACTCCTCCGTTGCCTCAAAATCCTCTGCGACGGCTCCTGCATCCACAGCTACTGCACACAATCCTGACACACCAACAAACATCAACCTCCCTACTGTCAACACCAGCGATATGGACTCTATCCATACCTGTCCTCATTGCGACCGCACCTTCACCTTACACATCGACCTGGTCGCTCACGTGTGCATCCATCGATCAGAGACTGGCGAACCAGTGCCTGGAGCACCCACATACACATCTGCCACATCCGCCTCAACTGCCCTCCCTGCACATTCACTCACCGCACGGGTCTACTAGGCCACATGCGCATTCGCGAGAACCTGCGGTATACAACCGACGGCTTAGCCGCAGCACCACATTTTCCCCCATCAACATCACGAAACATCATCATCCACCACAAGCATCCAAATGCCACCTTTCACGCACGTGGGAAGTGTGCGTCTCAGCTCCGTCTCCATGCTGATTTTTTGCCCCATGAGTGGTTGGGATCGCAGACTATCACGGTGCGGCAAGCACTGTGGCTTGGAAGGTTGCTGACTGACGCTCCCACTCAGCCCACACAGTCTTCTCAGTCGTGTGAGTGCATGTATGGAGTGGCAGACCGGTTGGCTGAGAACCATACTGGAGCGGATCCTTCTTTATGTGACCTACAGCACTTTCACGCTTGTCAGATGTATGCCGCCCAACCCCCGTTGTGCGAAATCCTGGTGCCTGCGGGAGGGGGTCAGGTCGTGTTTGTGGCACGCGCAGACAAGGTAATTAGATACGTCAGCTCCCGCGCTCATTCCCCGCATCTGTCCACTGACCGGCTCGGACAGCGGCAGGGGCCTGGGAGTGAGAACGAGAATAGAGACTGAGGTCGAAGACTCGGCGCATTTTCCTCAGTAGCTTGAAGCTGTCATGGTGCGCTAAAAGCCGTAGCTTAGAAGTTTGCTAACTGAAAGGAGAACTTGGATATCGCAGTCGGCCTAACGTTGTGTGTTTGTGTGGAGTGTCTGGCTGGTAGTCTAAGAGTCAGGTTGCAATGACTCCATTCTAATCTAGTCTAAATAGCGCCCCCACTGTGGGATCCTATCCAGGTGTAAAGGCACGCCAAGGGGCGACTTCGTGCGTACCAGCCGCTTCTATTTTTGGTTAAAATCCTTGTCAGTTGTTGTGTGGACAGGGAGTGTGGAGTGGAGCGTCAAGGTGCAGGCTCAACCGTGCCATCCCCTTGCGCCCTCTCCCACCTCTGGTCTTCTTGGCTTTGTCTTGAGACCGCGTCCAGTTGGAGAATGTGCGGCAGATACTGCGCAGGTCTACATTCACTATAAGCCAAGTCACCGTGTCTGCTTCACCTTGCTGTGGAGCAAACAGTAAAAATCACCGGCAACGACAATCGACCTGTGGGATAAACAAATACCTTAAAAACCTTTAAAATTGTACTGCTTGAGTGATTGCACAGCTCGATAATCGGTATTGGAACTCCGTTAAGTTTTATCTTTTCAACCTTTTCTACGGCATCTACTGTTGGATTAGTAGTCAACATGAGGTGAGGCAGCGTACAGTATAAAGTTGTACTTACTGTATCCTCGGACGGATACAGTATTCGAATAACTTCGATATAGGTGGCCCCTTTTGACACTTAAATATGCTTTTGTGAACTAAGTAACTATAAACTACGTACTTTCCTGATAGTGTCCCGGCATCTAGGTCTGCCACTGTATAGGTCCTCAACCCGTGAAACCAGTGGATTGCATTTTTCGAACGAACTCCTCACTTCAATTACTAAAAATAGTATTTTTCCGAAGGGTGTCTGCAGTGTTATAAAGGAGTACACAAATGACTGAGAACTGGATACAACGCAGAACCGGAGAACGAGCGTCTTTCTGCAGAATCCCTCCAGTAAAAGCTGGGGCATAGGCGCGGTCGCAGCAGGGCTCCCAGGAGATTCCGGACTAACTGCTTTTCAGTACACAGTCCTACAATAATAAGCTGTTTAACCTTTAAGTCATAAAGAAATAATCGATTTACACATATACATACCGCTTCTTGTTGAAAATCAGGTTCCGCATGTAGCCTTACAAAGAAGTCCTCGTAGGCCTAGGTGATGCACAAAGGCAAATCCACAGGAGATGCTTTGGAGTGGACAACCAACGCAGACTGCTGAATGGCGCCTAAACTTTCACCAATAATCGACTTTATCTGGCGCATCTCACTTAGGAGCACAACCATCTGCTGGACGAAGGTGTTCAGGCTATTATAGGCTGAAGTTAAACTAGAGGGAGAAAGTGTTTACCGTATGGCTGCTAATCCCGTTTGCGACCGCACTGATGGCTCCTGAAGCTTGACGAGACCTGTAGCATGCGACAAAAGGAGGTGGTGTGTTTTTGTCCGTTCTTGGCCTACTACTTGTTAGAGATATTGGTACCTACTGAAGTATGAGAGGCGGTGTGGTCCAACCAGCTAGTCGCCTTTCTGGCCCCCTTAGGCAACCATTTGCGTCCTCACCGTCATTCATGTCTGTCATGTAAATATATTAATTTTTATTTCAGTACTGTGCATTTTGTTTCCGACAAGGCCGTCAAATGCAATGCGCGAGCTCTGGTGAATTACCTGATGCACCAAAATGGCACAGCGCTTGGTTTGATTGTATGCTAGAGAGTAACAAAGAAACGCCAATTGTTCTTAAATCGTGTTAAGTCTCGTGGTGGGAAAGTGTATGTGAGCGTTTCAGCATTTTATATTCAAACAAACTAAGCAATTCAGAGAAGTCCCATAGTATTCATTAAAATTTAGACATGAATCGTAACTGAAGTTAACAGACTCAGGGCGTTAACATCAAAAATATACACGTAATGGTCGGAGGACAGTTAGCCGCACACGTAAATGTCACGATTATCATATTGTTCAAGTCATTATGTTAGTCCCAGACTCAGCGCGAATGCCACTGTGTTATTTTCTTTCAGGTCGGCCCATAGTTCTAAGGGGAAATGGCCATTCGGAAACGGCTTTGGAGGCTTAGAGGGAGGAAGAATTCGTCCAGGTCTACATATTTGTGCACGTCTTAAATGGTTTGAAGAGATAACAGAGAAACTTTCCATTCTGAAATCTTTCACGAGGAAAGTTTCGAATTGAGAAAATAACATTTCTTGTACTGTGCTAAACATTTTCAAAGACATCCTGTTGCGGATGAGCTGCAAAGCCAAAACTTATAGACAGCATTACAAGGACAGTCAGATAAAACTTGCCCAGAGGATATGAATAGTTCGTTTGATTTTATTTTGAATATGCCCCCGACCTCGGGAGACTGACTCAAGTGCCTTCTTAGGGGTTTGTAGACATTGTTCCGTAGTTTAACGTAGTTCAATGGGGAGAATAATTCCCACTGCTTTGGTAGACTAGACACATGGAGTGCCCTAATCTCTAGAGGTATTATACAGAAAAAAGTTCAGGTTGAAGACTGCGTAATGAAACTACTAGAATGGGTTTGCCCAGTGCCTAACTTTTGGATTGGTGTTCGAGGTCCCGACTGAAGCTGATGCCTTTGGTATGAAATTGACTGTTTGGCGTACGATCGCTCACAATTACCTATTTATGTTTAACTTCTTCCCCATCATATTGCCCTCCATAATTTCGCTGATCCCTCCAGTGTTCGGATTCCCCAACTGGTACATTTACTAGTATAAAGGTAACAAAAAATTCAGGACAGTATACGCTCCAGACAAATCGTACACCGCAGAAAAATGTAATTTTGGAGAAAGCCTTCAGGGTTTGAATGAACACTTAACACCGGCACCGCCTCGAAATTGGTTTCGTTCCCTCCCGCTCTATTTGCCACTTAGTTTTAGACGCCTGCTTAACTCAAATAGCTGATGGATTATATAATATCCGAACAACGAAGGCTACCATTCGCATTTCATTTAACCTCTTGAATTATTGTCCAAGTAACAATAATTATTAGGTACTCTTCTGCACGCGTGCAGATGTGTAGTCCCGCTCATGTATGTTAAGTAGTTCCTCTGGATTTGAACGCAGTAAATTCGGAGTGTGCCTCTTTGGTAGCATCTTCAGGGAGAAAACTCGGATCTTGGAACTGGCCACTTTTATTTTTTAACTGCACATGAATGTACTGGGACCATTGTAAAATGGGAATTGGGTGATTACTCGCGCGTCTTAACGCAAAAGTATGAAGGGAAATGCATAATGCAATATGAATAATGCTAAAAGCTTGAGGCCTCATGAAAACCTTAGCGTATGTACGTGGAGAGCTGCGTCTACTTGGAAATATTACGATACATTTATCTGCCGCCCTCAAGTTATTTGCTAGATAGGTTAACGCCAGGCTGTACGGTACGTGGGGCATGCGATCCCGTCGCTCAGTGGGGCTGGTTGGGGTTTTCAAATTTTCAAAGCATTAATTGCCCGTTATAAGAGCATACCTTTCTGAGGCCATGCTCTTGATTTCGGTAACACATATCTCTCATGACTCCGTATAGGTT